CCCCAAAACCCCAAAACCCCAAAACCCCAAAACCCCAAATGTTGGGAAAATTATTGAAAAAAAATTATCTTAAATATGGACAAAGAAGAGAGAATTCAGAAGCTAGAAGCGATGATTGATAATATGGATATAGCGAAGAAGGCATACCTTGTTGATTTATACCATAAGGCAGGATATAAGCATGAAAAATATTGAGAAACAGACAATAAGAGACCAGGACCAGCTATGGAACCAACAAAAGATGAGAAGCAAGAGATGCATGATAGAGATAATTTTGCAGCACTCGAGAGGAAGAAGAGAAGGTTTATGCTTACTTCTAGCAAACTGAATCTAGAGCTTATTGATTGGAATAAATTAGTTGCTCTCCATAATCTCAAAAATGATGTTAACAAGATTTTCTTTGTATCTCAACCTATGGGAGCTTTCGTGATAAAAATGTGTAGTGAAGTAGTCCCTACTTATTTTGGAAGCAGATTACTTCAATGACTACAGATCCCTACACCAGATGTAAAGCTTCTTCCTTTCTATAATGATGAGTTCAAAACGATGGTTCACTCAATGGAAGCTCTGACGTTACATGATGATCATCTGAGGCATGTAGTGAGATTAAGTATGGATAGACCATTCATACTCTTACAGGAGTATATCCCTGCTATCACATTGAACAAAATTGGGGACAAGAGAGCAGAAAGATGACTCAGTACAAACTATGCAGATGCTAGTAGCAGATTGATTAACATCGGTAGAATTATTGCTGCTGATATTCTCATGAATAACAACGATAGATTTCCTTTGATCTGGGACACTGACGGAAATTACGGGAATATTCTTTTTGAAGTAAAGACTGATGAGAAAGTAGATGATGAGCTTCTGTTAGAGCCTACTTATACTGAAATCAACTTCAATGATTCTGTTGCAATCGATACTCAGGTTAGATGAATTGATGAATCAAATCGATATGGAAAAGTTGGTGCTGAGAAGTACATAAAAAGAGTAAATAGCTTCATCGATGTGATTTTCTCTGACCTTAAAGAAATTATATCTGGTAATTCATCAGTAAATAGCTATGATTATGACTCAATGAAGAACCTGGCTTCATTTGTGTACACTTACACAGGCTATGACATTAGAGGTAGGTCTCTCTTCAGAATCATCGAGGGGATAATAATTGGGATATTCAACATCAAAAATATGGGAATGGAAGTCATTCGGAAGGTCCTTGAGCATACAGAAAATGCTATTGAAAAAGACTGGAAAAATGTATGGTCTGATGGTGTTTCAACAATCAAGATTGAATTTATTCAGAAAATCTATGATGCCATGTGTCAAAGACTTGAGATGTATCCAAAAGAATTAAGATGGGTCCTGAGAACCCATCTGTTGAACTTTGTAGTTGATAAAGAGTTTAGAGATGAAGCCGACCAAGGATTTATTATTAGAAAATATCTTGATGAAGAAGGGGTCAAGATGCTCTCTGAGCTAGAACATAGCGGCATTGACCAAGCACCTGATTCGAGCGAGGATGGATTCCAGCAATATAAAGATCCTCTCCTTGATGGAGGTGACGCAGGAGATGCTGGAGAATACAAAGGATTCATACCAAAGCAAGTTCGAGATGAAATAGCTCCATCAGTAAGTTTACTTTTATTAGTTATAGATTCCAAAAGAAGAAACAAAGGAAATGGGTGAGCCAAAGAACATCAGGGATCAATGGGGAAAGAATTAAATTATAAAGATCAGCATTGCTTTATTTCATAAACTGACTAATCAACAGATTTTAGGACGAAAAATAGGCTCAACTTTCTGGAAGCCTAAAGGGGTTTTGGGGTTTTGGGGTTTTGGGGTTTTGGGG